GCAAAATTGATATGTACTCTGATTTTTTTAAAATGTTTTAACGTTATATTTGGTTGGAAGTTTTGAAAAGGAAAAATAAAAATATATAAATGAAATGTGAATAAAATATACTTATATTTTACTTAATTTTACACATATTTTTCTTTTTTTTTTAAATCTCTTTTCAAATTTTCTAATCAAACACAACGTAAATAAATTAGAATACTACATGCACTCTTATATTCAAATTAGAGCACATAAATAATAGCAGATTAGTTTTTCATTCAGCAAAAGAGAAGCAGGACAGTAAAAAAAAGAAGGAAAAACTGAGAAGTAAAAGAGGAAGAAGAGCATAAGGGGGAAACACATAGGCCTTCCTTGAGGTTGATACTTGGAAGGAAAAATAAATAAATAAATACAAAAAAGAAAAAGAGGGCATTTATTTATAAATTTTTCTTTATTTACTTATATTTCACTTAGTTTAAATTATTTTCTTATATTCCAATTAGTCTTATGGGTGATATAGTTATCAAAATACCCTTAATAATAATAGTAATGTCAATGTTTCGTGATGTGAACATTCACACCGTCAATGTGAACACACATCAATGTAAATATTAACATTGTAAAATATGAATGGTCACATCACCAAATTGCTAACTGTTTAAAAAATATTAGTAAAGGTAAAATTATTCATAAATTACCTTAAATTTGAGAATTAAGATTTGGTGGATCAAAAGTCTAAATAATAAGATTTATTAGAATATAAGAATATGTTCTTGAAAAAAGATTTCCTAATAAATCTCTCAAGAAAAAAGTTTGTCTCTAGATTATTTGTGTAAGTGGGGCTCACTACAGGTCTCATTTTGATAATTTGATCTATTTATTTTTTAAGTTAGTATGTGTAGATTGTCGGCGAAAAAAATTAAATTGATTCGATAATCATAACCATATAATTTTATTTGTTTTAAAAAAATGATTGACAAATATAATTTTAAACTAGACGATCTTTTTTTTTAAAAGACAAATATAATAAAATTATATAATTATAATTTTTAGATCAATATGTTTTTTTATGAATAATTTACACACAAAAGCTTAAAAATAAAATAAAAAAATCAGATTATCATAATGAAACCATGATGGACCCTTGAGTCTAAACATTATGGTCTTGATTAGAGTTAAGGGCTTTGTTTGGGAACAAGTTGAATTAGTCAAAAAAAAAAAATTCAGAAGGTCAATATAAAAAATCAACTCATTCTTTATATTTTTTTACACATTTTTTTTTTTGTAAAAAATTAAAAAACTAATAAAAAAATCAATTTCTAAACCAAGCCTTGTACAAAAAAAACAGAGACCTTAGCTGTTGAGGTTTGATTTGGTGAATGATCAACTAGGCTCTTCAATGGTCGATAAATCCAATGGTCTAAAGACCCCTGTAACAAAAATGTTCCACAAGGCCCAAAAGCCCACAAGGCCCAAAAGCACACAGAAAACATGTCATATATAGTTTAATTTTTTTCAATAGGCCCAACAACTTAAAAAAACAATAAAGGGGCACCAAAGTAACCAAGTCACTCAGCTTTCATGGCCCTTGCAATTTGTACTCCTCCATCGGAGGCATGAACATGATTTAAGGGGCCGAATGGCAAATTTGATAGGCCATGAGAACACGTTGAATCCGAGTCAAGTGATTTAAACCATACTATAACTCAAGAAATACTAAGTGTCAACATTATATAAAAGGAAAAAAAAAAAAAAAAAAAAGATAACAAGGGCAGATCGGGATTGTTAATCCTGAATTGACTCTTAATCCAAAACAATTAGTAGGAATTTGCCCTATTGGAAGTAGGGATGGCAATTTAAAACCGGCCCGATGGTGACCCGACTCCCCGACCCAGAATTAAGCGGGTTTTTCCCGAAAAATACTCCCGATGGGACGGGGATGGTATTTAAAAATCAATCCCCGAACAGATTCGGCCAGGGACGGGGATTAGTGTCCCAGCCTCGTACCCGGCCCGGCCCCGTCCCCGATCCCCGGCCCGATTTATCCCCGATATTAAATTACAATTTTACCCTTATATATATATATATATATAAACCAGGTCTCTCAGTCTCAGATCTCATTTCTCTCCTCTACCCCGTCTCTCAACTCTCTACCTCATTGACTTCTCTCTCTCTCTCAGATCCACCACACCACTGTTGCCGTCCAGGTCCAGCTCGCACCACCACCACCACCACCACCACATCGCGTCTCTCAACCACTCCACCACCGCGTCTCTCATCCACTCCACCACCGCATCTCATCCACTCCCTCTTCTCGACGTCGCCGACCACCACCGCCACCACTGCGTCTCATCCACTCCCTCACAGATCAGATCTTTTTTTTTTGTTTTTAGATCTGTCCACTCCCTCACAGATCCCTCTTTTTTCTTGTATTTTCTGAAACTTTTTTTAGTTGTTGTTGATGATGAAATTTTCTGAAAATTTCTGAAACTTCTCTGAAATTTTTTTTGTTTCAGATCTGTTTTTAGATGATTAACTTGTTGTTGTTGTTGATGATGATGAGTTCTATTTTTTGAAACTTTTTTTAGATGACGAACTTGTTGTTGATGATGAAATTTTCTGAAATTTTCTAAAACTTTTCTAAATTTTTTTTTTTTTTGTTTCAGATCTGTTTTTAAATGATGAACTTCTTCTTGTTGTTGTTGTTGATGAGTTGTATATTCTGAATTTTTTTTTTTTTTAGCCGGGGAATGCTCAGGGTCGGGGAAACCCGATCCCTGTTGGGGGCGGAGGTGGGGGCAGTGACACTTTCCCCGTCGGGGATCGGGGCCGGGGCCGGGGAAAATTCGGGCATCGAGGATCGGGGACGGGGAGTGTGGTCCCCGGCCCCGCCCCGCCCCGCCCCGTTGCCATTCCTAATTGGAATTAGAATAAGGACGTGTTAGGTTGGATTGCTATTTCTAGATTCTAAGAGGAATCTCATTATTTAATTTAAGTATAAAAAAAGTAAATCACTACAAGAAAAGGGGCTATATAACACGGAAGCATTTGCGACAGTATCACTTACCGTCGCAAAAAATGGTTTTTTGCGACGGTACCCCTTACCATCGCCAATAAATGGGTTTTTAGCAACGACACGCCTTCCTGTCACAAAAAAGTAACTTTTTGCGACAGTAACAATTACAGTCGCAAATAATGTGCATTTTTTGCTATGGTAACCCTTATTGTCACAAATAAAGCTACTTTTTGCGACGGCATGAACTACAGTCGCAAATAAGAGTTTTTTTGCGATGGTAATAGGTGCCGTCACAAAAAAAAACAATAATGTTTTGATGAGACGACATTAAAAGTATTAGCGACGGCATTTTGCCGTTGCAAAAAACTAAAATTTTTGTAGTGTTTCACCTATTTTTTCATCTTCCTGTCTCTCTCTATCTCTCTCTCTCGCTCATTTCTTTTCTCTTTCTCTCTTTCTCTCTCTCTCTCTCTCCCACACTATGCTCGCGTTGCTCACTCTCTCCCTCCCCTCTTCTCGATTTACCGATCTCTCTCTCGATTTATCGATCTCTCTCTCTCTCTCTTTCTTCTCTTTTAATTGCTCATCTCTCATTTCTCTTAATCACTTGTCGAAAGAGAAAAAAGACAAAAAATGAAATGGGTCTCTCTCTCGATCATTTCTCTTCTCTCTCTCTTTCTCTTTATCTCTCGTCTTTCTCTCTCTCACTCATCACTCTTCTCTCTTCGCTCTCTATCTCTCTTGCTCATCTTTCTTCTCTCTTTCTATGTCACTCTCTATATCTCTTATTCATCTCTTTTTGCTGTCTTTCTCCCTCTCTCTTTGTCTATCTCTCGCTCATCTTGTTTCTCTCTCTCTCTTCTCTCTCTCTCTCTCTCTCTCACTCACTCATCACTCTTCTCTTTGGTTCTCTCATCTCTCATCGCTCTCTATCTCTCTTGCTCATCTTTCTTCTCTCTCTATCTCTTGTTTATCTCTTTTTGCTGTCTTTCTCTCTCTCTCTCTTTGTCTATCTCTCGCTCATCTTATTTCTCTCTCTGTGTGTCTCTCTCGCTCTCTCTCTCTCACTCATCTCTCTTCTCTCTCAATCATTCATTTCTCTCAATCACACTCATCTCTTTCTCTGAGCTCATTGTTGTTGAAAGAGGAAAAAGTCAAAAAATGAAATGGGTCTCTCTCTCTCTGTCTTTTTCTTTCTTTGTCTCTCACTCATCTCTCTTCTCTATCTCTGTCATCTCTCTCTAACTCTCTTGCTCATCTCTCTTCTCTCTCTTTTTTTGTCTCTCTTTATATCTCTCTCGTTCATGTTTCTCTTTCTTTCTCTCTCTCTCTCTCTCTCTCTCTCTCTCGCTGATCATCTCTTGTTTCTCTCTCTTTTTCTATTTCTCTCTCTTCCTAGCTTTCATTACGCAGCAAAATGGACATATAGGTTTTTAGCAAAAAATAAGTTATTTTTTTTGCGACGGCAACCTTTCCTCGTCGCAAATAAAGGTTATTGGCGACAGCAATACCCCCGTCACAAATAAAAAAAAGTATTCCCTCCATCCCAAAATATTAGTCCTTTATTCCATTTTTTATTGTCCCAAAATATTAGTCTCTTTCCAAAAATTAAGAAATAAAATAATATGAATATACTATTTTGCCCTTCTTTTAAATTTATTAATAATACAAAAAGTACAATTATTACAATTGATATTCCCAAAAAAATGTACTATCAAAGGGTAATATTGGAAAATTAATATTTTTAAAATATAATAATTGTACTATCAAAAAAAGTTAAATTTCCCAAAAGAGACCATTATTTTGGGATGGAGGGAATAGTTAAACGCCATCGTTTCATTATTTAAATTTTCATTTGTGACGGTTATACTTGACGTTGCAAAAAACAAAAAAAAAAAAGAACTCAAAATCTGATTCACACTCGTTTTTCCCCTCTCAATCAAAAATCCCCAAATCTCAAATCCCTAATATTTTGAACCAAAAATTCCCATCTCTCTCTCTCTCTCTCTCTCTCTCTCTCTCTCTCTCTCTCTTGCAACCATGAGCAGGGCAGACGACAGCGTTGAGCGACGGCGAGCAGCGGCAGGCGACAGCGTCGAGTGACGACAGCGATGGCGTGAGACGGTATCGAGCAGCGGCATACAACGACGTCAAGCAACAACGAGCAGTGGCAGACGACGGCGCCGAGCAATGGCGAGCAGCGTGAGACAGCGAGTAGCGGCAAACGACAGCAACGTGAACCAGGTTAGCCCTTGAAATTAGCCTCTATGGATGGATTTGAAATTAGCCTGTTGAATTACATCCAAACATTTGATGAATGGAGCAATTCCCCTTTTCTGAATTGCTTATGGTTTTTCAAGACTCATTATGCTTTCTTTCTTTGATTTTTTTTAATTTAAATTTACATATTTATTTTTTGGTTGTTAGGCCCTAGGTTTTTGATTCATCATTCAAACCTCTGTTTTTAGATGGTTGTATTGTTGTAGATGATTTTGATTCAGATTCAGATAATAAATTTTGATTGATGATTTTGATTCATATGGTTGTTAGGCCCTGGGTTAGGCCCTGCATTTTTTATTGATGATTCAGACCTCTTTTTTTTTAATTTAAATTTACATATTTATTTTTGAGGAGCATAAATTTGAGGAGTAAATTAAAAATATCAAATCCAAAAAGCTTAGTTATTATTTTTTCCAAATTGGCTTATCTTGTATTACTCTCTCGTTGTATTTCTTAATTCTTATTGAAAATTTGCCTGTCACTGATTTCTCAAAATTGATGTTCTTCAATTGGAAAAGACATCAGTTTAAGGGGTTACCTATGCTATAGTGCATCCCTTCAGTAGTTCTTTTTTCTGTTTTGTAGGTTGGTGATGTTCCATTTGATGATGTGCCTTTTTTTATTGGCAACTACGCTATCTGTATTGTAAAAAACATACGGCTAAATGCAGATGTTATTTCTTGCGCAAATAGGACAAAGCTAATAATGCAGTATAGTGTTGGGCTAAAAGGTTCTTTCTTTATTTTTGTTAAATACCATAAGCATAATATCTGTTAGACATTGTTTCTTATATGCATATGGTCTCCATTTATCTTTACATGATGGCGTTGACATCAATGCTGCTACAAAGCATGGAATCAAAGTCGTTAGAACTCCTGGTGGTGTAACTAGAAATGCAGTTTCATGTGCTGAAATGGCCATATATCTAATGTTAGGCCTTCTTTGTAAACAAGTCAGTTCAATTCAGTCCAATAATCTATAATCAATATGCATTTCTCATTTTTTTTAGCTTATAAATTGGGAAGCTTCAACAACTTTTTGGTGAATTAATTATTTTAAATTGTGAATATGCTGAAATAAATGGTTTATGTACATTGACCTAAATTGCAATTGAGAAAAATGATAAATTTATGTTGTGCTATCTCTCCATGATATGTTGCTAATTTTCTCCTTTTTCCTAAGTGAAATTTATGTGTTGAAGTTTAATTGGTGAAAAGTTTTAGCCCAGTACCCCTATATTGGAAAGTCTTTTGTTTTTTACTTTTTTCTTCCATAATTTAATCAAACCATGATAAATTTCACTGTGTTGATAAGAGCTTAACCAAAATCATGATTTAGCTCATTCCTAATAGTTTAGCTAATTATTTATTAATTTTCATTACCTTTAAGATCATTTTTATAGCGATCCTGGTTTTAACCCGTCTCTTGTGGTATTCCGGACTCAGGTTTATATGGTTTGGATGGTTGTACATGTCTTGTTTCCTTGTCTTCCCCTTATTGTTGGTTATTGGGTTGTAGTTGGGTGTTTGGAACAAGTTGGTTGCTTTTTTTTCCAAACTCAAGTTGCCCATAATTTTGGCTCTCCGCTCAAGCGGGCTTCACAAATTTTGCTCTACGCTCGAGCGGGCATTCGAGCACTTGAGCGGAGACTGCGTTTGCAAAAATACTTAGATGGCGTATTTTACGCTCGAGCGGAGGGTTTCATGCTCGAGCGGGGCTTTCCACACTCGAGCGGACCGCGTTTTATCAGCTCGTGAAAGTGACATTTCAGATCACTTTTTTCAATCCTCTCTCTCTCTCTAAATGTCTCAAAATTTTCAGATCTAGAGCTCCTCTCTCTAAAAGTCACCTTTCTCTCTTTGATTTCTCCAAATCCATTGGGATTTTGGCCATAGTTCTTTCGTCAAAGTTACATAACTTCTCGAGGGCTTTGTTGCGTGCGGCGGAGATCGAGTTTCGACACCGTAAATTTGGGGTGTTTCAACTAAATTCTTCATCTACACTTGATGTAGGGATTTTTTACACTTTAATATGATTTTTAGCTTAGTTATTTGTTATTGTGTATAGATGATGAGGTTTGGTCGTGATTTGGGACAAATCTAGGATTTGGGTGTGATTATCGAAAAGAGGGGTTTTTGATGAATATGAGGTAAATGGGGTTGAGGTTTGAATATGAGGGCATGTTATGCCAAAATGATTGATTTTGATATTCGGGTCAATATTTGGAAAAAGTGAGATTTTGCCCTAATTTGATTAGATCATTATCTTGTATAAATAATTTGGATTAACATTGAAAATGTGAAATTGGATGGTTATTGATGTGGATGGTGAAATTAGATATGTATTATCTTACATCTTTGGAAGTTTTGAATTAAACTATTTATCTTGAGATTAATTATCTGTTTAGAAATAATTGTATTGGGCTATCGGTGCAGGATAGCTAAGATTGTTGTAGAAATTGCACGAGGATTAGGTGATTTAAAACTAATCCATTGTTGGTTGTCATTGAATATGATTATGTCTTTATATACATTGTACATGTACACTTGTTTGGGAGGAGATAGGGGATGTACTCCATGTATGATTATATCTTTAATTACATTGTATATGTATGATGTTTGGGAGGAGATAGGGGATGGACTCCATTGGATTAAGTTGGGCGGAGCGTCTAGGGTGAAAGTCCCGAAAATCACGATTATAAATGGGTGCCGTTTCCCGCGGACAAAATGTCCGTAAAATGGCAAATAAAAGTGATTGTATGATGATTATGCTGGTTAAAGACTTAGTGAGTTGTAGTCTCAATTTGGTCGTCTGAATGAAATAGATTTAACTCATGAATTGAGTAGAATAAATGGAATGAGAAATGAATTGAAAGATAATGGTCATGACTCATGAATTGAGAAGTATAGACGAATTTGAAATGAATTGAAAGAAATGGAATCATATGAATATTCAAGTTGGTGGATGTTTTAGTACAGGCATTGTTTATGCACTTGGTACTTATACCTTTGCTAAATCCATATATTGTGTTAGATTATTTCTACTGGGCTGTTGGCTCACCCTATATGGGGACATCATTTTCAGGTACAGGTGATATGCTTCCACCAAGGCAATAGCGTGGATGGACATATGGGAATCAAGAGCTTCTGTTGTTATGTTTGTTATATGTTTAGCCAATGGCTTATTTGTAATGAGTTGTGCTCTCTTTTGTGTAACCAAGCAATAGCTTGAGAATATGTAAGCCTACAAGGCATTTGACTGTACATTAAACTTTTATAAATAAATTCCGATGTATGAAAGTATGTTATTTCTCATATTTTTCTGCATATGAGATTGGATTTATTGTATTATTTTGGGGACGTTACAATTTTTGTAATAACCTCTCAACTAGAAAGTGATGTATTTTGTCAGTATCACAATATAGGTGAGTGATATATCACTAGTCTTTCAACTTATAAAAAAGTTAATTAGATTTACTCTCTTATCTATTACTATATATTATTTTCATCGATGGCAATGTGCCTTGTAATTACTTTATTCTTTTTACCTCATCTTCACTACAAAGTTTAAATTCATTAATCCCCAAAGGTACATGACATTGTTTTTTAGGGGTTCAAATTTGCTTTAGTGTTGGTCATTTTGGCATATAACCCTTCTATTTTATTTACTTTATTTTGTATCTTTCTATTCCCTCTTGATAGCTTTTCCCACTCCATACAAATTCCCACTATTTAGTGTTAGAAGTATGTAATTGATGTGCTCATACTCTATGTTTTTCACAGGGTGTTTCTCCTATTTAAATATGAATTGGTCACATGCGGAAATCCACTATTGCTTGAGCATTTGATCATTTGGAGCACATTTTGTTATTAAGCTGTTTAATTTGAGAACTTTTGTCTTTTATTTGTCATTATTGCTGAGATATCTTAAGAATCCATTCGCGTGGCTTGGTTTTCTCCATATCTCCTGACTTTTGTTGTTTATTGACAACATTTCAACTTTGCTTTTAGGTTTGGGTCTTTTTGTGGTAGTGTGCATTCAATATGCATTTTATTTTTGTTTTTTGTTTTTTGGGACTCTTGTGAAATACTGGATGTTTGGGATTTTAGGATTATATGGACAGGCATTACACCTTTTCTTTTGCAAGACATTGTTATTTGTATATGTGGTTATATCATATATATAACACATATTTTTGTATGAAATTTAAGTCATGTTTATGTGAATTGGTTTTTTATTATTTTGTTATTATTGCAGAATGAGATGCACATTGTTGTAAAGTAGAAGCTGCTTGGATAGCCAATTGGTGAAACACTGCTGGGAAAAAAAGTGAGTTTCAATTATCTTGGTTTTTCTACTACAAGTTTTCCTACAAATGCATTCGTACATTTTGTGTTTTCTTTCTTATTTTCTTTTCATTGTTTTATTTTTTTTAATATCCTAGAATAACTTCATGTTGAACAAATGCTTCAAATAAATGATTTAAAGTTGCTTGCTACCATATCTAGATGGTTTTGAAAATGATCAAGATTATTATTTGTAACGCCCCAAATTTCAAGCCCAAATAATAACACAACAATCATGGCTCTTTAAAGGAAAAACCGAAACAAATCTCCATACTTGTATTACAAGATACAAATAGTCCCTCTTGCGATTACACATTTAATCCAACAACAAATAAATGAACAAATAAATACCTCCAAGGGTTTACAATTCTCCAAGGCTTAAGCCTGATTACACAAAACGGTTATTCAAACCCACACATACAAAGCCCTTAGCTTACAATCAAAGTCACAGCAAATGAGAACATTGTGCTCTCAGCACACATTTCCACACCCTCAGTTAGGCGGATTCACCACGTATTTTCCTGCACCAAAAATCCCATAGGGTGAGCATAAAGCCCAATAAGAAAATCTTCACAAAGTATATACATTTTATACAAGTCTCATGAGATGAATGCACATGCCATGCCATGCCTTGCCTATTTTTAAGGTAAAACACATATTCATCTTTTGAAAACCATCACGCTCAATGATGTTATACAATTTCAACTGTTCCACATTTATCCTTTTTAATCAAGGGGCGGTAAATACAACTCTGGTATTCCCTAGGCCGGTGTCTGCAAATAGACTTTACAAGTATTACCAATTGTCATTTTTACCAGTACTAACCGGAAGGCTCGACACCTATCCGCACGACTTTTTGGTCTTTCACCAAGGACACACAGGCCAACTTAATCAATTTCATCTACACCATCTGTTTGGATTTACCACCGTATTTACTCCAAAATAATTCCATGAAAACTTATTTCTCAACATTCTCTTCTCAATGCAAATTTTCGAATCAACTTTCAAAATTCATTATAATCAAATAAATTGATATGCCAATGCAACAATAATCAATACAATGCAACAATTCTTCCATTTCCAATTCTTCCACACAATACTACTATTGTGATCAAAATTTCCATTTTTCCTTTCCATGCAATTTTCATAAGATGAATAGATACACATTTATTCCAATTCATCCAATGGATAACACATTTCCCACATTTCGAACATTTTTAACAAATTAGCCATCTCAAGACTAAATCAACATTTTGAATAACAATTTCCAAAACGGACAACAATTCTCATATTCCTCAAAATTTATCACTTATACAATATAAATAAGAAATTTTCCAAACTTCATTTATTTTGGGCATTCAAAATAGATATGATAATAACAACCATGGATTTTCAACTTCTTTTAAAAATTTCCCAATTTCTAGGTTTTCTCACCAAAATCATCCATCTTCAAACATTTGAGAAAAATCTCACCAACAACCTCTTTCTTCAATCAACATAGTTTAGAACCCTCAATTTTTATTTTTAAAGGAACAAAAAAGTAAACCCACTTTCAAAAATCACTCATCTTCTTGAATCAACTATCAATTTTCAAAACTAATCAAAGGATGATTTCAAAAATCATCTAGATCTTGCAAAAACATATATATAACTCAAAGAAAATTCCTACCTCAAGTTTAAAGAAGAAAATAGTTGAAACCCCCAAAATTTATGGTGTCAAAACTCGATCTGCACCACACAGAACGAAGCCCTCGAGAAGTTATACAACTTTGATAAATGAACTATGGCTAAAATCCCAATGGATTTGAAGAAATCAAAGAGAGAAGATGACTTCTAGAGAGGAAAGCTCTAGATCTGGAAATCTGGAGAATTTTAGAGAGAGAGAGGATTGCAAAAAGTGATCTGAAATGTCACCTTTTCAAACTGATAAAACACAGTATGCTCGAGTGTGGAAACTCCCGCTCGAGCGTAAGACACAGACTCCCACTCAAGCGTGAAACCCTGCACTCGAGCGTAAAATACACCCTCTCAGCAATTTTGCAGACACAGTCCCCGCTCGAGCGCCTGAATTCCCACTCGAGCGTGGAAAAAAATTTGTGAAGCTCGCTCGAGCGTAAGAATGCCCGCTTGAGCGGAGAGCTAAAATTCTAGGCAACTTGAGTTTGGAAAAACAAGCAACCAACATTTTCCAAACACAACTACAACCCAATAACCAACAATGAGGGGAAGACAAGGGACACACGACATGAACCACCATTCAAACCATACAAACCCGAGTCCGGAACACCACAAGAGACGGGTCAAAACCAGGGTCGCTATATTATTTGCTTGCTACCACATCTAGAGTTGCATGTGTGCATGCTTTGATGTAGCTTTCCATTTACTGTTGATATCAATGTGATTTCTAGCAAATTATGTTCTATGTATATTGATGGTTTACTATATTAATTTAATTGAATCTAGTGTCTGAACTGCTAATGGATGCAAATATGGTAGATAGTTGAATCTTGATTGCTCCCTTAGCTATTAATATGAGATTTTGAGTGGTTAAAAAATACAAGCATTTTGATGTATTCATGGCATCATAGATATGGAAGTGCGTTTTAGGTTTGCTTTTGCTTATTTATTTATATGGGCTAGAATTTAACCACACAAAGAAACAAAACACAAGGTGTAAAAGGTCATGTCTACCAGTAACATTGAATTCAGCCTTGTGGAAGGGTTTCAAGTAACATTTTTGTCATTCTTTTTCAGCCTCGTGAATTCAAGGTGTTGACGCCCTAAAATCACCAAACGGCGTCGGATTAGCACGAAACTTGGCACACACGACCGCCTAGGCATGAGAGACTTGTAGGAGAAGACGGGACTCGAATCGAGTTCCCGGTTTGGGAGTTACAGCCGGATTTCGGTCTAGTCAAACTAGTTCCTCAAGAAACTTAGAATTCAATGTGTTGAGGCCTCAAAATCACCAAACGGCGTCGGATTAGCACGAAACTTGGCACACACGACCTCCTAGGCATTAGAGACTTGTGGGAAAAGACGGGACTCGAATCAGGTTCCCAGTTTGGGATGTTAGAGTCGGATTTCGGTCTAGGCAAACTAGTTCCTTAAGAAACTTAGAATTCAACATGTTGACGCTCCAAAATCACCAAACAGCGTCGGATTAGCATGAAACTTGGCATATACGACCTCCTTGGCACGCGAGACTTGTAGGAGAAGACAGGACTTGAATCGGGTTCCTAGTTTGGGAGTTAGAGCTAGATTTCATTCTAGGCAAACTAGTTCCGTAGAAAACTTAGAATTCGAGGTATTGACATCCCAAAATCACAAAACGGTGTCAAATTAGCACGAAACTTGGCACACATGACCTCCTTGGCACGAGAGACTTGTGGGAGAACACGGGACTTGAATCAGGTTCCCGATTTGGGAGTTAGAGCTAGATTTCGGTCTAGGCAAACTAGTTCCTTAAGAAACTTAGAATTCGAGGTGTAGACGCCCCAAAATCGCCAAACGACGTCAGATTAGCATGAAACTTGACACACACGACCACCTAGGCACGAGAGACTTGTAGGAGAAGACGGAACTCGAATTGCGTTCTCAGTTTGGGAGTTAGAGCCATATTTTTGTTTAGGCAAACTAGTTTCTTAAGAAACTTAGAATTCGAGGTGTTGACACCCCAAAATCACCAAACAGCGTCGGATTATAGCATGAAACTTGGCATACACAACCGCTTAGGAATGAGAGATTTGTGGGAGAAGACGGGACTCGAATTGGGTTCCCGGTTTGGGAGTTAGAGCCGAATTTCAGTCTAGGCAAACTAGTTCCTTAAAAAACTTAGAATCCAAGGTGTTGACACCTCAAAATCACCAAACAACATTGGATTAGCACGAAACTTGGCACACACGACCACCTAGGCACGAGAGACTTGTGGGAGAAGATGTGACTCAAATTGGGTTCCCGATTTGGGAGT